TATAAAGGAGGATGGGTAGGTGATGGTGTTGGAATTGGTCCACCATGGGATGGTAGATGCTTTTGTCCATGGAGACTTGCTGGTAGGGGCAGATCATGAACAACCATAGTAGCAGAAGGTGGTCTAGCCGGAGAAAACGCATTAGAGTCGGCCATTAATACTAAGCAAGATAATACAAGCAACCATTTCAGCAACAGAGGTTCGATGACTTTTAAGGCACCTGCATTTTTTGTAAAAACTAGAAAGTCAAACTCAATTTTTGATGATAAAAAATAAGAAAGCAGTATGCTGACGTAAGTTGAACTTTACTTTCCATAGCTATAGAACCGTAGTTTAGGATTATTTAGTAGCATGGCCGGAGCTTCAGCCTCAAGACTGTTTCCAAGATAGAGCATAGACTGAAAGCTAAAACTCAAGTCAAGCTAAGCTGCAACATATTTCTTCTTAATGAAAATTATGTCGGCTTTGTGCAACTGCCTCAGCATACCCTTAGTATATATAATTTGAACTAGTTATTGCCCTTGCATATACCCAAAAAGTGCCGCAGCCCCCTCCCCATAAAAAGAAGGATCATGATTTGAATTCCTTCAAGTGTCTATTTCACCTTCAAAGGTTCAAGGTGGCATAATAAACAGGCACCACTAGCTGAAACCCAACTCCAAAGACCCTACCAAGTAAAATGAACACGTCTTCCAACTCAATGGGTTTGTAATAAATGGGTTTTCATCTTAGTTTCACCACCAAGTTCATAGTTGAGAGTGTGAAGCTACGAGGAATGAAATTCAGCTTTCATGTTCGAATGATTGTGGATAAAAAGAAAAAAACCGTCTTAGCAAATCCTACACGTCTAATTAAAAGAGAAGCTCTAAGATCATTAAGAGCAATATTAACAATTTACATCAGTTTGACATTGGTAGTAGCCAGCAAACGCAGAGAGCCAAAGTAAGATAAATTCTCGCTCCGAAGATTACACGATAAATATACGGGAACAATATGCAGCTGACGAAGGACTATGAAATTGCCTGATTCTAAACACCAAATTATACAAACATGCAAGCAGAATTCAAGTCCATTGCATTGTTTCCTGTTTCCTTAGTCATAAAAGTCCCTGTGAAACTGCAAGTGAACGCAAAATGATGGACTTCTAAAAATCTGTATTACCGATTAAGATAGAAACTGGAAGGACCGACATCACCGAGGCCGTTGATTGCCCCTGACGCTCCAGATCTATAAAATTTCGTTGAAATCAACGGCGGGGATGAGCATAAAAGTCGAATAGCAGGAGCGACACTGTGACTAGGAGCAAGGAGCACGAGTAACAGAAAACGAAGGGGGATCTAGGAGAAGAAATACAGGCGCCGTAATTCGAGCTTGAGAGAGTAAACTCCGAGTCCAAGAACCCATAGCTGAGTTGAATCGGAGAGCCAACGGAAGGTGACTGCTAGTGTTGGTACGTGGATCTGTTATCACTTGCCAGCGACGGAGAAGGCCGTTTATTTGGTTTGGGAAAAACGGATTAAATGTTTTTTCGGCGTTTTTTGTTTGGTTGCCGACGCGTGTGGGGGCATGCGCGCACGCGGGCGTTAATTGCCAGTCACTATGTACGCTGTAACGGAAAAGAACCCATTAACAGTAAGTGGCTGCGGGGAGGAAAGGGAAATACGAGAGAGACAGTCAAGGCAAGGGGTCTCGCTTTTCAGATTGCCTCGCCGTGAAGCATGGAGACGATCCTGTATAGTGTCGGTACAGTGCTATTTCTTGTTGGGGAAAAAAATTAATACGAGTAATAAAAAAGAGCACAGTGCTATTTCTTGGTCATCCGAATCTAGACGTTGGTTAACGGTAACATAGAACAAAAAGGCGCTTTGACTGTGCGCTGCCTGTAACTTTCTTCTTGCGTTATCTTGTCAGTTGAGATCCTCTTTAGTTGAAGTTTTTTGACCTTGAATTCAGGTAATTAGATTTTTTTGTGCCAGCAGAATCAAAGTAATTAGATAGATAACAAACTTCCGCCACAAATCAATATATCCCTGTGTTAATGACAGCTAATATAAAATTAGGTACATTTCCTTATGATGCCAGAGCCCAGAAGTATTAGATACTTTTTATTGCTGGTGGTTTGCCAAAAAATGCAGTTCATTCTATATTTTGGCTTTTGTAATATTTGCTGACCTTATATTGCGTGGAATACTTTAAATAGGGAAAATCACTAATAGGTCCCACAGAAGATAATTTATTACTCTGAGGTCCCATGAAATGTCAAAATCACTGACAGGTCCCAAGGGACCTCAGAGTAATATTTTCGTTTTGTAAAATGACATTACTGCCCCTCATATTCCAGATTCACATTTGCTCTGTCATTACGATTTACAACCTCAGCAGCGACTATTAACAACCTAATGAGAGGGCGTTAACAACCCTAGCAGTATCCGTTAACAACTTACTTTATAGAATTATATAACCTCTACATAAGAGTAAATTATAACCAAATAATATAATACAACAACTTTAACACTAAAATGGGAAGCTTTTTGATATCATTAAGAATTTTAACTAGATCCAATAGGATTATAGTAATATTTTAATGCGAATATCCATTTACAATCTCAACAGCGATTATTAACAACCGAATGAGAGGGCATTAACAACCTAAGCAGTAGCCGTTAACAACTTACTTTATAGAATTATATAACCTCTGCATAAGAGTAAATTATAACCAAATAATATAATACAACAACTTTAACACTAAAATGGGAAGCTTTTTGATATCATTAAGAATTTTAACTAAATCCAATAGGATTATAGTAATATTTTAATGCGAAGATCCATTTACAACCTCAATAGCGACTATTAACAACCGAATGAGAAGGCATTAACAACCTAAGCAGTATCCGTTAACAACTTACTTTATAGAATTATATAACCTCCACGTAAGAGTAAATTATAATCAAATAGTATAATACAATAACTTTAACACTAAAATGGGAAGCTTTTTGATATCATTAAGAATTTTAACCAAATCCAATAGGATTATAGCAACATTTTAATGCGAAAATCCATTTACAACCTCAACAGTAAGTATTAATAACCTAAGGAGAATTGTTAACAACCATAGCAGTGTCTGTTAACAACTAACTTTATCGGATAATATAACTTCTAACTATAACTAACTAAACTATAACTAAATAGTCTTAAAGTTAATCTTATATAGTTGTTAGAGGTTATATTATCCTATAAAGTCAATTGTTAATAGATACTGCCTAGATTGTCAACAGTTCTCTTTAGGTTATTAATACTCACCATTGAGGTTGTAAATGAATCTTCGCATTAAAATGTTGCTATAATCCTATTGGGTTTAGTTAAAATTCTTAATGATATCAAAAAGCTTCCCATTTTAGTATTAAAGTTGTTGTATTATACTATTTGGTTATAATTTACTCTTATGCGGAGGTTATATATTCTATAAAATAAGTTGTTAATGGATACTGCTTAGGTTGTTAATGCCCTCTCATTCGGTTGTTAATAATCGCTGTTGAGATTGTAAATGGATATTCGCATTAAAATATTACTATAATCCTATTGGATCTAGTTAAAATTCTTAATGATATCAAAAAGCTTCCTATTTTAGTGTTAAAGTTGTTGTATTATATTATTTGGTTATAATTTACTCTTATGTAGAGGTTATATAATTCTATAAAGTAAGTTGTTAACGGATACTGCTAGGGTTGTTAACGCCCTCTCATTAGGTTGTTAATAGTCGCTGCTGAGGTTGTAAATCGTAATGACAGAGCAAATGTGAATCTGGAATATGAGGGGTAGTAATATCATTTTACAAAACGAAAATATTACTTTGAGGTCCCTTGGGACCTGTTAATGATTTTGACATTTCATGGGACCTCAGAGTAATAAATTACCTTCTGTGGGACCTGTTAGTGATTTTCCCCTTTAAATATCGAAGAAAATATCATCACACGATAAAAATAGAAAAAATTTATATAAAAAATAGTATGGGACAAAATGCCTTTTATTTTAAAACCCAGAAATAGAAAATATTGCTCCGTTAGTTACATCGTGTCTAAAACGAGCCATATGCCCACCTACATTTATACAAAATCTATAATTCCGTAATTAATATTAAGTTAATATTTAATAGTACTATTTATAACTTGTAAATATGAATCTCTATACTTCTATATTGATATTTAAGGAGGCTAAGTTAACTATAAAAATCGGTATGAGACAAAATAATTGTTAAAAAACAGAACATCAATAATTAAAAAAATCCAAAGAGAATGAAGGAGGTAAAATAGTATCACACACTTAAATTTCAAAGGAAGTAAGCGTTTCGTCTTAAACAAAATAATGTTTGACTAAAAGAGATTAATTGGATTCATAACTTGAAGTCTATATTTCACATGGGAACAGTACATCTCACAATTAGTGAAGAAATTAGAGAATTCAAAGAACAATAATATTAAGGTGGCATTGAATCCTTATTTCTTTTCCACTCTCCTGCCAACAAAGAAACGAGTCGCCGAAGGTATTTTTTATATGAATATCAGCGAAGTGAGTTTTTTTTTTTTTTTTTTAATTTATCAGCTTTATTGAATTTGCAGGAGAGGTGATTGAGAGAATCTGATCCATTGCTGAAGTAAATAAGTCCACCCACATGTACAAAATTTAAAATAAGTCATAACGTCCATAACCGTTTATATTTTATACATCCTATATTCCTATCCTGATTACGGGTTGTCTAAACAAGCGAACTCGTGTGTGGTCGTTAAATCCACAAATAAGTCAAACAGTGACGGCAAAAAGTCAAATAGTGACATCAATATCTCTCCTCATGCCCGGCTGACAATAACAAGTACTAGATGATACAAGGATGAATGATCAGTATGGAAGTGAGAAAGTGATATTCTATGCCTTTCTTTTGGCCTGAAGAAAATCTATACCTAAAAAGTTGCATCTTCAAACGGTGGGTTTTGAGAGTTAATCAAATCTTGGGGCACGGAGCTTGAGCTTCATCTATATTCCTGGCAACGACTCTTCGCTTGACAGCATGTGGACATGCCTCCAGGCAGGGCTCTTTCAGGATGCTGTCATCTTCCGGTTGTGGTGGAAGGACTCCAAATTTGAACTGACATTTTAGTGTTTTACAACTATAAGAAACTTGTGGCACCAGTTTATCTTATTAGACATATTGGTTATACAACTATTTTCCGTCAACATCTGCGGCTTTAAGACACCAAAAATTGACACACGGACTGTCAACTTTAACTCCGTCTAGATCCTTAATTGCTAATAGAACTTCAGTTTTCAGGCACAGCCCACAATCAGTGGTCAACGCTGGAAAACTAGTTTTACTCTAATTATGCCTCCCGCTTCTATCTTTCAATTGTTCCAAAGATCTTGAAATAGATCACAATGAAGACGAAGAAAATGTAATGGACTTCAATCACTGGTCTCTTAAAGCAGCAAGAGCTCGACAAGAATGCCATCACTGTTGGTTGATGACTATCCATCCGAGTTTCTACCAAAATAATCAGAAGACCATTGAAGAAAGTAGCAGATGGCCACCAACGAGGGGCGAAAGAATTGAAAGTTGAAACCGGTCATTTTGGAACGGATTCCTGAACGTGCTGTGTTGTTTTAAATAGAATTTGAAAAATTCAACCATTTATTTAGATCTGGAAGAGAACTGAAAGTGACCAAGAGGATAAAACTCAATATTTGAACCCAGCGTGGGTAGTGGAAGGAAAAAAAAAGTGAGAGTTTTAGACAACATTACAAAATCTGGAAGAAAAGGCCTCTACATTAAGTCGATGGGCCTGGTGGACTTTTAGTCCACTGCCAGGGCGTGAAATAATAGCCATGGTAATTGATAACATCAACCCCGTGCCAAAAAAATTCCCTGTCAAAAATACGCATAGCTGAGACGTGGTAATTGAAAATTTAATTTGAGGACTTGGGCAAGTGAAAGGGGTGGCCATGGCCTTCCTTATCCGCCCGCTGAATTGGTTCGTTAGGGTCCGCTACTGTAAAACATATCCCAGTTTCACTTACGGTCAAAAAGATGGGGGGAAAAGTAAGTTCACGTTAAATATCACTGAATCCATCGAAAAGGAGTGGGAGCGGGCGAAGGAATCTGGCTAAACAGCATTTGGTATGATGGATTATCATTCCCTCGCTCACTATTGCAAGAATCGAGATCCATAAAATTAAATTATTCCATCAGCAGATTTAAGGAATGTTCTGCTGAACTACGGAAACAAGTGGGAAATGCCTAATTATCAACCAGGGAGGTTGGCGGTAACAAGTTTCCTGTGGCTAGCAGTGAGTAGATAAGAGATATAATAGAAAGAAGTTTTCCCTGAAAGCCAAAGTGACTGTCATTTTCCCTAGGGCAGAGATAGACAGATAGTATAAATATTACCTGACAACTGTAATCACTGAAGTTGGGCTCCATTAGCAGTGGAACTCCCATATGATCCATGAAGAAAGTCTAAATGGGATATAATGAAAGCCAAATGTAAACAGTGGAGGTGCCAAAAAAAATTACTGAGAAGTGCTCAATACTTTCATCTCTTATGGCAACGTAATGAATGGCAAAGAAGTATTTTGAATGACCACTAACCTGTGTCGGAAATTTGCAAGTATTGATGCAAATACTGGCACATTTGCTTTCTTCCAGATACTTGCATCTTTCCACATAAACCTACAAGAATTGAGAAGTATGTCAGTCTCGAATAAAATGTTATCATTCAGTCATGTCATTCTCTTTGGCCTAAAGCTTGACGATAATCATACTAGATCTAACACAAGGCAGAACAGGTGATCACCCCACTACTGCAAGAGACTCCATTGTCCAAGTCGACAGAATTGACTTTGCACGGGCCCATTAGCCATTGACAGGTCAGTGCAGTAACCCTTGCTTGAAAACAAAATACTGTCTTAGAATGTTTAAACATGTTTTTGGCTTCTAACGATAGAAATGAGATGTATTTGACTCACCAACCATCATAGCAGCAACTTTGCCCCCATCTATAGGAGCTATGAGAATTTTATATAGCTCTAAAAGAAATGGAGGAAACAAGGACCTCAATACTCGTACCTGCCATCAATAGTTAGTCGACTAAGTTTGCCACAAACGTTATTTCAAATTCATAAGAAACCCAAAAGGACAAATGATACTAAAAACTAAACGGCAAGAAACATCAGTTCCTATTTTACCAACTTTTAGTCAAAAATAGTTCAAGCTAAACCTTATAAAATGTTTGTCTTTACCCAACTGTTTATTTGTTTGAACCAAAACTTTCCCTGCTCTCCATTTATTATAGAATCACAATACCAATCTGAGTCATAAACAGTTCTAAGCTGGTTTTTGTTTTACCAAACACTTAAATTTAATCCAGTGAGACTCGAACCATATTCTGCTGCATATAAAAAAGTTCACTCATTCTGTGGCAGTGGAGGGTTACACAACAAAGGTCCAACAAAGTTTGCATTGATCCGCCTGTTTCATATGAAACTATGTGTGTCCATGCATTGTTTATGATTTGTGAATACTGTGACATGATATAAATTTTATATTGTATGTCAAATGATGATATTGATGATATTGCTATTTATTGATACTGATGCTAAATAGATGGCAACAGAAGGAAGCACATTAAACTGATATACCGCTGCTTCAATCGTATCAGCTCTTGTTCTGCCCTTCATCATGAGATGGTTCGCAACTTCAATAAGTCCATCATATCCAGGTTTGTTTGAATCCCATCCAACCTCCTGAAACCAGGTCGTGTAATGATATTCCAACACCATATTTTGACAAAAAGCGTCAACAGACGGACTCTTCACAAACATAGGAATATATAGCATTCCGTTCCACAATTTCCAGCTAGTAGAGTTTCAGCGCATATAAACAATCTTAATACCATAATTAGCTAATTGAAAATAGAGAAGACCATTCTGTTCCCCAATTTGTTTCTCTTTCCTCCCTCCCCGATTATGCTCAAGAGGGAAAATTAAGCTCAGAGAAACAAAAGGGAAGAAGCTATAAAGCTCAGTAGATTTACCGCCACTAATTTGTTGCGGAACAAATTGAGGAACAAGTCATCAAATACACCGGGCTTGTATTCTGGAGTTGAAGCTGCAGTTTTCGCATGTTCTACCTGATCATGTCGAGTGCATAACAATAATTAATAATTGAAGGAGTTTCAGAACCCAAAAAAATAAAAGAAAGTTGAAGCGCACTGATCTAGATCCTGAAGAAGTGCAGGAAACGCAAAAACGATGGCTTTGAAGGCGCTTAGGAAGGAGAAGGGAATTCCACGGCGTAAAAGAAGAAATGATAGGGGCTCTAACAACGCCTAGCGGTTCCATTCCACTCCTCCGCTGTAAGCCTCTCCCTCTCCCCTACAGATGCTGTTTGGTCAATTGCCAGTCGGTACCTCCGTGAATTTGTTTGCGCAATTGCAGTGGGCAGTTTCACTGGATGGTCTCCATACGAATTTATCCAATAGTTTGTGAAATGGTAAGTGATTACATGCTCCTCAGTGCTAACATTTCGTTTTCACCCGTTAGAAATGTACCCGCGCTTATCCGAGGATTACCTTCAGTTCTTCGACCATATTACTATTAAAATTATTCTGAAGTAGAAATTAATCTATCAATCCCAGTACTACAATTATCAGACGCGTCCTCATAAATACAGTTAATCTCTGTATTTTTTAACGGTTTCATTTGTCTGCCACCAAATATTTTCAACTGTTTCACGACCTCATTTTCTCACTTTTCTTTATTTGTTTTTTTTTTTTCATCGTCCTTTTATGGCCTTGTTTTTCTTCACTCCTTTATCCGTTCTGTTCTTCTGCAGCCATTCTGTACAGCGCTCCAAACTTCCAATATTGAATTAATTCAATACTTTGGCCATCAAATGCCATTCCCCCTTTAAATAATCAGAGCCCGTTTAAAAATTTGTGTAAAATATGAGGATAGAGCAGACATTAATGTGCTTTTCAATTTTTTTTTTAATATTGGTCCGCATTTTATCTATTTAATATTTTATTGATGGTTTCGTTAGAAATTCATCCTCCAGGCATAGTTGATTTAAATTTTCATAGCCAAAGTTATGAATTACTCCTCCAGTCTTTAATATAAGATCTAATTGTTGAGTTGGTTTTAGACCTAAATATAAGACTCATTTATCATATTTATTAATTTTCTCTAAATTACCCCTATAGATATACTCCCTAAACTATAATCAAATAGAAGAAAAAGATGAGGTATTAAGAAAAATAATTTTGGTATTTTAGAAAAAACATATCACATTTCTCATAATTAACTAATTTATCTAAATTCCTTAATCTAATCAAATTAGTTAAATAGATATTATATTAAGGACCGGAAAAGTAATTTTTTTCTGGATACCCGTTAAAATTACCTCATCACTGAATGAGCACTTATAGAATATTCACCAATGTAATTTTCATATCAGTATGAAAATTAGAACCTAGAGGCATACCCTAGATCTTGACCATCCAGACCTTGTTTCATCGGCTTATATTTATACCGAGGCATCAATATCCTTGGCTCTCGAGGAAATTTCCCGCTCCTCTTTATCGGGCCTATGTACAGATCCCGGAGATTATAATCTACTAGGCACGAGATGGAACTCCATTATGCTGACTAGGAACTAAATTTTCTAACATTGCCTGGATAATTAATGTTTGAATTAAACTAAACAAATGGAATAAAGTGAACGCACTAAACAGTACAATCGTAGCCAGTACAATCTCAAATGAATAGTACAATACCAAACTCACGCAGCTTGGGCTATGTTTAAAGCTCCTCCATAGGTGTAAAAGGGACATTCTTCGGTCTCAAAAATACATGATAACCCAAAAACACAGTTGCGCATAGTGCCGCTGCTGATAGGAACAGAGAAAATGCACTGGCAGCGCTCCATGAACTAGTTGCTGCTGACTTGCCGAGCAAAGAAGTTCCTGAAGATATTTCAAAGGGAACCCAATCACAGTCAATAGAATAGTGTCCAGAACCATGCCATGGTTGATCATCAACTGGATACCAGAATGCAGCAGACATCTTACTGGATCTACCAATAGTGAATTGTGCATCCTGCAACCACCAGGTAACGTACACCATTTCAGTTAGTTGCTGCCACGTAGAAAAAATTCAAAAGCATTAAGTAATAAGACAAAACTGCTAGGTTTTGAGCACTCTCAACGATACAAATTGTGGCGAGGGAGCAATTTATGATGCCACTTGTAACACCAATGCCACAGCTAAGTGGCTGAATCTTGGCCACATAAATTATACTGGCTGGAAGTTGATGATGGAAACTTGATGCAATAATCATCTAAAGAGCCTTAGCTCAAGTGGCATATTTTTTGGAGATAGTTGCTAGGAGTTTTCATACTCCTTCGGTATTTAATGTAAGGCCTAATTGGGAAGTCGATATTGGTTCTATATACAAGACTTATTTTACCTTTTTATCAATTTTTTTTTTCAAATTAACCCCATTGATATTTCCCCAATAATAATCAAGTAGGAAAAGAAGGGAGGGAATTAAGAAAGATGCTCAAGGTGTTTTAAAAAAAATATATCATGTTAACCAATTTAACCAACATCCTTAATTTATTCAAATTAGTTAATTAGGTGTTACATTAAGAATCGGAGGAGCATAATGCAAGTTCAATCGTTACCCTGCCTTCCATCTCTTCTTCTGAAGACTGTCTTTACTTTGTAACCTAAAAGAAAATTATTCTCCCCAACAGATTTTACAAAGATATTCAGACATACCCTAGGCTAGTTCTACCTCTCTAGAATCAAAAGACAAAACCATCAATGCCAAACCATCTTTGGGAGTTAGAGTTTGCATATAATCAGATTCCCTATGGAAGAAATTTGCGGAATCACTACATCAACAAGCATCAAGCTCAATACCTTTGCGGAAATCACCTACCCAGATCATCAAATAAACCCACCTTACTTTTTAGTAAGGCAATGTTTCACATCAAGTACAGGAAACTCATTTTCCAACAGCCTTTCTATGAAAAGCCAGAAGTGAAAAGCTTAGTTTCATGCCCCTTGTAAGCTTAGAACTCACAAGCAGCAAGGACTGCAAACGTGTTTTTACCCCGTAATATCCAGAGAACATTGATCAGTTGATATAGCATATTTCAAACATGCATTAAAATATAAAAAAAAAAAATTCTAAAACCGTTCCAAAAGGCATTTAAAAATGGGCCCTAGAAATAATTTTGGTGGTCGTATTGCTGCCACAATTTTTTGGCTGTGACATGAGAGAATGATCTGTGTGTCGAGTATAGCAAGAATTTTGTCAGCAACGATAGAAAATATTCTAAGGATGTCCCCTATTGAAATTGTTTAATCATAGACCTCCCTTCAATTATCGATTATATCAACTAAGCACTTAGCATGGTGATGTCAACAAAACTGATCAACAATAAAGTTCAAAATAGTAGGTCTAGAAAAACCCTCCTGACTTGACAAGAAATCCGGATATAAATTCAGAGGCAATAATGGACCCAAATTCAGTAATCAACAAACACGATATCTGGACAGGTCAATACATGCTCTGACTACCTATGAACTTCTGAAAGCAGCACGTTATTTTCTAACCTGTTGAAGATGATCCATGGTTCTCAAGGGCCTTGAGAATTCAAAAAAGTATGTACCCTTTTTTCCATTTTCTGCATATGGACTCTCATCCTCGATAAAACCTGCTATGAACAAGCATGAAAGTTTGTTAGTCTGGGCAACATAGACATAAAAATAGCCAGATGATAACGTGAAAGGAAGAGAGATCAATACAATGCAACACGTGTGAGTAGATAAAAGCCAAAATATACTTTAACATAGAAAAATAATTATAGCACAGCAAGACATCCACCCAATAAGGGGCAAAGAATCAATTATCTTTTATAGATCAACTGAATGGACTTCGTGACTTAGTGGGGATTAATTCTTTTATACATTAAGGTGGAAAGGGTTACTCACCTGAGTGAACTGTGAAACTGCTGTGCCACCAAGCGCCCTTCCAGTCATTCTGTGCGCTAGAATCATTTACTGGAAACCACCAAAAAAAAAAAAAAAGAAGGATCAAGTTTTAAAATGACCTTAAATTGGGTAAATTATTTGGGATACCAAAAAATACTCCTTTCTCTATTACAATAGTCTACATAAAATTGTCACCCAAAAAAAAAAAAAAAGTATATATAAACTTCCCTAGAAGGCAAAGCATGACCAAAAGTATACTAGAATTCTGTACATCAGAAAAAATATTAAGGAAAGCAAGATTTTGGGGGGGAAATGAGAAACAATATGATCAGACAAAACATCCATAGAACAATAAAACTTTTTTTCCCCGCCAGGACGGAATGTTTGGTTGGAAGAGTGGAAAGTAACGGGAGATGGAATCAAAGAAAACAAAGCATTAAGAATTTATGCATTGTCTAATATTCTTGATATTATTACTTAATTAACTGTTCCTGCCCCTTTTCATTATTTTTTTAGGGTCGTTTCCCACTCCATTCCTATCCCCTTTGTCAGCCAATCCTTCAACATCATGCATACCAAACATCAGTAAAAGGACACACCCAGACACACACACCCGCACACCCACACACACACACACACGCATGCCTCAAGCAAGGCACTGCTTCAGTTGTTCAAGAGAAAGCGGGAGTAAAAGTGAATCATTTTCCAGTGTGCACGAGTGTGCCATGCATGAAACAGTCAAACGATTTCAATCTACGCTCAAGTCAGTAATAACGATTTGAGAAATATTGTAAGATAGTTAAAAGGTTTACGCTAAAGAAGTAGCTTTTTTGAGTTTTTAAAAGATCTATGGAGGAACCCGTAGCGTTACACTAAAAGAAAAGTTGTAAGGTTGTTCCCTAAATTAATATCACGTAGCTGTCATCTTTGCAGCATCCACTTTGCTTCTTTTAACCATATAAATACATATTTCTTATTGAAAATATGATATCCATCTATACCTGAGCCCGGAGGACCAAATCCATCTAAGTATCTACAGTGGGGATTCCAGGCATAAAGATCCACCAAATGGCCAAACCTGTACATATGAAAGTGGACAATTGAATTAACATGTCTATTATAATAATGGCTCTATAACCGACAGTCTCATTTGAACCTAATACTCAAAAGTGAAAGCCACGAAAATTTTGCAGTTTATCACCTGTCACCTCCATTTCCATTCCTGTTGTCTACAGGATTCCCGCCATATAGCCTTCCTGGAATAGCATTACCGATGGAGAAATGCATGATGTCGACTTCATGACCTTTGCAGGTTTTGTTTGTGCAAGAGCTTGTATGTTCTCCGCAGCCGCCCATCTCATAAAGTTGACGCAGATTTATCATTTAATAATTCATTACGATTATCTCAATGTGCTTAAAATAGATTGAAAGCAACAAGAACTGCAAAAATTTTGAGAAATTTTAAATTAACTAGACCGTTAGTCAGTGGTGTTTCTTACATCATGATAAGAGGCACCATCCCCAATTTGAAACATGAGAGCAACGGATGGACATTTATTGCTATTTCTGCATTGACAAAAAATATATCGAGTGAACAAAAGTTTGTCGTAATTGAGGAAGAAATAACGTAGTGGATGTAAAGATAAGGGAACATTCCCTGTTTTTCAGTCATTTTGGACCGCAATAACACGAGCTTAAAATAATTATTAGGAAAACATTGTTATAACAGTCAAACATGCATGTTAGCATTAAGCAAATATACACAACTCGGGGAATTGAATACAGTTCCTTTGCACGCCATGGCTTACCCTTTAGAATAAGTGTAGACACCATCAACTTCAAGCAGAAAGAAAATATCGCGGCCGTCGTGCAGAGTCTGAAATACACCGCAATCATGGCGTGAAAACATAGCGAACAAATGTTGAAGATAATTCACAAGCAGCTATGCAACGCACGATTATTCCACACACACACACACACACATATTGGCTATGGATAATAGCATCAGGTTGGATGAGAAATATGAGGAGTACCTTAACAGTCATCTTGCCGCCTTTGTACTCTTTGTCAGCATCTGGATCAATAGCGGGGCGAAGAGAGAAGTCGGAGCCATCAATGTCCTTCCAATCGTCGGCATGGCCATCTAGAGTGATAAGTCCAGGGTTAAAGTCGACCTTGAGTCGGATCTCCGAGTTAGAATCGCAGCTCCACGTACCTGACTCCTCGTGTGAGTCGACCCCTCCGATTGAGACGGAGGCCAAGAAAAGTAGAAGAGAGAGCGTGTGAAGCATTGTGAGGAATGAGTAAATCGGTCCATCTATTCCCTTCCTCCTTCCCTCCCTATTTCAGGTTGACCCGCCACCCGTCCCCAGAGGCAACTAGGAAGGATCGCGCCTTTTTTTTTTTTTGGCCCTCCTCTTTCTTACTTCCTTGGTTCTTGACTTCCTGTCCTCCCTTCCTTTTTTTTTTTTTTTGGTGTTTTTTCCTGTTCCAAATTAAGCCGTATGCCTGTTTAGGGCTTCTTCGTGATTCGTGAATTGCTCGTGTCCACCGTCACATAATTTTCTGGCTAGAAAAGAAAAGAAAAGAGGAAGGAGCGCGGACACATGACATGCATTCTGGTCGATTACGCTGTGTAGAATATTGAATGTTCATCATAAAGCATAGATTAAATTATAATATGGAATGTTGATCTATGCTGTGTATCTTGTATGCCCTGTGCAAATATCTTTTCAACGCGCGCGTATGTGATTTCTATAAAAACATACTCCTCCATTTCTTAATATAAGACTCGTTTAACTAATTTGATTAGATTAAAGAAGTTAAGTAAATTAGTTAATTATAAAAAAAAATGACATATTTTTCTTAAAACACTATAATCATTTTTTTTAATACCCACTCTCTCTTTTACTTGATTCTAGTTGAGAGAGTATTTATATGGGTAATTTAGAGAAAATTGATAAACATAATAAATGGATCTTATATTTAAAACAAAAACCAACTTAAGAATTGAGTCTTATATTAAGGACTGGAGGAGTAATTCACTGCTGTAACAGACCATGGTTACCGGTGAAATAAATACTTGAAAGTAATTAATGCAAACAGATAAAACCTATCCTTTGAAAGCATGTTATTTTCATCAAGCATGAGGTATCGACACTGTTCACAGACAGAAGATCACTAGCTATTAGCCAATATTGTCCGGTAATGGCTACTCCGTCAGCCTCTAAATATAAAAGTTGGGGGAACAGATTGTTTTTTTAGATGTGTTTGGAAATCAAACATTTCCTTTTAGATTGTTTTCAATTGAACACACAGATTCATGAAAAATGCATCACACAGAAGAGGCAACTGTTGGAACTTGGAAGATACAGATCGCCAAAAGTAGCCTGTGAGAACTCCTTGCTAAAAAGACTAAATATAAAAGTTGGGGGAACAGATTGTTTTTTTAGATGTGTTTGGAAATCAAACATTTCCTTTTAGATTGTTTTCAATTGAACACACAGATTCATGAAAAATGCATCACACAGAAGAGGCAACTGTTGGAACTTGGAAGATACAGATCGCCAAAAGTAGCCTGTGAGAACTCCTTGCTAAAAAGACTAAATATAAAAGTTGGGGGAACAGATTGTTTTTTTAGATGTGTTTGGAAATCAAACATTTCCTTTTAGATTGTTTTCAATTGAACACATAGATTCATGAAAAATGCATCACACAGAAGAGGCAACTGTTGGAACTTGGAAGATACAGATCGCCAAAAGTAGCCTGTGAGAACTCCTTGCTAAAAAGACTAAATATAAAAGTTGGGGGAACAGATTGTTTTTTTAGATGTGTTTGGAAATCAACATTTCCTTTTAGATTGTTTTCAATTGAACACACAGATTCATGAAAAATGCATCACACAGAAGAGGCAACTGTTGGAACTTGGAAGATACAGATCGCCAAAAGTAGCCTGTGAGAACTCCTTGCTAAAAAGACTGGGTTGACAGTATTTAATTTAGAATACAAAAGGAAAACAAAAAACAAAACACACCACAGCATGAGGCTGCCATCTCAATCCCACGACACAGAGAGATCAAGTATTACAGCGAGGGAAATGTCACTCTGGGGCCAATAATTTAATTTCGGTTGAAAGCAAAAGAAATTCAAATTTTCGGATATAATCACCCTTCCCATAAAATATTCAATGTTAAAATTTTAAAAATCATTTACAATTTATTATTATTTTTATCTAACGCAACAACTAAGTAATTAATTTATAAATATCAAAAATCAGTTAAATTAGTTATTGATAATAAATGTGTATTAATTTTTTTCAAAATACTAATTTAATTGTTTGCAGGGAAACTGCCTTTATTAATAAAAATCCTGTTAGTATATGCAATATTATTTTTAAAAAATTATAAATTTGTAAAACAAAATGAATTGTAAATTTAAATTCATAACAAAGACAAACTTTTCAATTAGTTTCCACATTTATAAAAAGAAAATGGATTAAAAAAAGAATTTGAACATAATCTCAAATCAGATGTTCCTAAAAAATATTGTCATTTGCAAATTAGGTTCAGTTAAAACTTGTTAAAATATAAAAAAAATAAACTTGATTTAGGATTTAGTAATTTCTACTTTTTTTTCTGTTGTTTTTTCTTTATAAAACCAGAAGAAAGTATATAATCAGTGACAAACAACCTAAGAGAAATGTTTCAAATCTTCCGCGCAAGGAGTAATCAGGATTGTAGTTGCAATTTTGTCGTGTCAAATTGTGGTAACCCAGTGCAAATTTTTTGCGCAGTTAAAGATTTATTCCTGAAAATGTTTTTGTGTTTGAGGTTGAAACATCAACGGTACTTTTTTTGTGCATGCCAACGTCAAATCTGGCAGTGTTTGCGTAAAATTTGAAAGTACCTTTTTTTTCCCAATAAAATAGTACGTGTTGCGAGAATGTGACGAACTTTTTCACGATTTACCAGCAACCATAAAATAGTGCGCAACAAATCTTTCAATTTTTCACTCGATACGAACTAATATTCTAACATGATCATCAAGGACCAAAAGTGCCTTCAGAAAATTTCGAAAATTTTTAGTAAATTGAAATGGAACTAATGACAACGTATTAGTTCCCAAGCGTCATTCCGCAATAGCAATTTTGATATTTTATGGGCGTATTTTCAATTATTATACTACCTCCGATCCTAATTATAAGATCCAGTTGACTAATTTGAGAAGATTAAGGAAAGAAGTTAAGTTAGTTATTTGTAATAAATAGGTGTTGTCTTTTATAAAATATCCTTACTAATCAACTATATTGGCTAGAACTATAATTATTAGAAGAACTATTTTGAAAAAAAAATATAAATATGAGAGACAAAATAGATTAGAGTATTCCATTTAGGATCAAAATAAAAGTTAAACAGGATTTTATATTAAGAACCGAAGGTAGTATTTGTTAAAAGCTTAAAATTTAAATATTACCGGCAAATTACTGGCCTAAAAAAAATTGCCGGCAAATTTAAAAAAAAAAAATTCCAGTTTGTTGCTGAATTTTAAGAGCGCCCCGCCGGGGGTGACGATTTTGGTGCTAACCTAAACCCATAAACCCTGCATCTGGGAAGTGTCAGTCCAGCACTTTGGCAGTGATTTTTATTATAAACGACAAACGATCCCCACATGAGTCTCAAGATCTGTCTACTCCATCACAGTTGATATCGCCGGCAACCTCAGAATCCCGATCCCGAAATGTCGATTAGAGATGCTTTTCTCTGCTTACTGATTGCAACATCTTCGATCTCAGCTGCTTGGGCTGATTTAATTTATGGTTGTGGTGGCTTCGTCCAGGTAAAATAGTCTTGCTCTTCTAGTCTTTTATGTCGAACTCTAGAAAGATTTGCAAGCTTTGCAATGGCCGGTTTTGGCGGCAATTTTTTTTAATACACTCGGCTGCGATTACTATACCATGCATGTCAGGTTTTATTTTTTCGGCGTTGAATTAGAAAGTAAAATTTTCTTGGCTGACTGAGAATTTATGAGTTCTTGCTTTTCATTTAACATGCTAAATAATATTTTTCAATAGAAAACATCTATACAAGGATGAGATTTTTTTCTTTTTAATGAGTCTTGGCAAGAGCTGTTGGTCAATTTGTGAGCTCGATGCTGGATATTACTACAAGTTTCTGTTTCCTCCTGTGTTATTTGGTCAGATGCTTACACACACATTCTTGAGTTTATTTATTTGATCACGAATTTCCACCCTGCAGGCGAGCTCATCCCTAATTAAGTCAAGGAAGCCGACTGATGCCAAGTTGGATTATTCCCATATCACGGTATGTTTTTGAACCAAGACCATCTGGTTAAATGGCTTCTCCCCAAAGCTTTTGGAACTTTGCCACTCACTTATTTATGTCCTCACAAAGGGCATGTACTGAATGATATCTAAACAGACAAAATGAGGATGATACGGAGTTAGAAACTTTATTGCATAATGCTCATAGAACAGTTATCGGCTTGAAACCTTCAACATTCTGAAGCCGTTATAAATAAGGAAAACCAAGGCATGAGTAAAAGATCCAGCTTATGTCTTTTTATTTATTTATTTATTTATTTTTTTAACTTCTCCTGATCTGTTTTTGGGAGGAAAATGCGCTGATGCAATATGCACGTTATATGTGTCATGGACAAGGGAATTCCTGTTGTTCCTTAGAAACAATGCATTCACCTGAACTCGTGTTAAAAAAATTTACTTGTAGGTTGAGCTTCTCACGGTTGATGGGCTAGTAAAGGACAGAACGCAATGTGCTCCAAATGGATACTATTTTATTCCAGTATATGACAAGGTGAAATTTTCATAACTTATCGTTGAAGTTGTGAGTTGAAAATTTCATGAAGGTCATTCTATTCCTTAAGATGATCTGCATGCTGTATAGTGATCTGATGATGTCCTTTTAATAGTTTCCTGCCCTCATTTTCCTCTTATTTTTTTTTTCCAGGGTTACTGAGAGATTTTATTGGTTAAGCAAGCATTTGTCATCTTTATTGTCTTGGGATTGGTTGGATTTGTTATACGCTTTTATGTGAATTAAAGTCTCCTTCATTACCAAGTGTGCACGTAGATAATCAGTTTATGGGAACACAATGGTGAAAAATTTTTGTGCGCATACGTTGCTTTATATCAGATGTCTTCAAATCACTACCTCTTAAACCAAATCATTTGTTTCTCCGACAGCTTAAAGAATTCAGCTAGGGGCTTGGGGCTTCAAGAGCAGTTTTTTTAGCCTTTTTTTTTAATCCATCAAACTCTGATTCCCCCCCTTTTTTCTGGCGTCTTTTTCAAGGGCTTACATTAGGTTGAAATTATTATGAGTGTTTTTGAGATATTTTCGGTTTCATGATTTGGTGGCAAGGTTTAAACCTTACATTTGAGTGCACTCTTCAATTCTTCTCACTGCTAATGTTTTTACTGTAGGGTTCTTTTGTAGTTAAAATTAATGGACCTGAAGGATGGTCATGGGATCCAGAAAAGGTTAGTTTATAATTATTATGTTGTTATTGATATAGAGTCTAGTTATTATGCTGTTATGGCATGGTCACGGTCTGCTTATCTGAAAGGGAGTTCCTATGAAATCTGACATATTTTTGTCCCTATTTCCTTCTTCCTACAGGTCCCTGTTGTGGTTGATGACAATGGATGCAATGGAAATGAAGATATAAATTTTCGTTTCACAGGGTGGGATATTTATTTGACTTCATGTTTCTTTGCGTCCTTCTGAATCATTTGTTTCCACTCTCTCTGCTTTTCAACAATTCCTGCTGATGTTTGCATTATATAGGTTTACTATATCTGGTAGAGTTGTGGGGGCTGTCGGCAGAGAAAGCTGTTCAGTTAAAAATGGTGGTCCTTCAAATGTGGAGGTTGCGTTATTATCCCCTGCTGGTGATCTTTTCTCTTCTGTCTTAACTTCATCATCAGGGAGTTACTTGTTCACAAATATCTTTCCAGGTGGGAAAGCTCCAATTTATTTCTACAAAGAACTTGTATATGAATAAATTCATTCTATCATTTCTCGTGGCATTTTTTTCTTGCACTATTGAGGGAATCATAAGTAGTCGTCTTAGATTAATGAATATGGAACTTGTTGTATTTGATTGATTGGTATCGATCTGTGCTTAGCAAAATTGTTACTTGAAGAAGTGGATCTTGTTGAAATTCAAAAATTGATCCCCACTTTGAACCACTTTCTTGAGGAAAATGTTGATCATTTTAGCAAGGGTGTGCATGGGGTGGTCCCAGGTTGGGGATTGTCCTTGTTTGAGGTCTCTAATCCCAAAGTTATCTAATTATTAGTGCAACACCGGGCCTTGACTCTCTCTTCTCTTGCCAAAAAGAATCATCTTTATCGTCATCATCACTGTCATCATAATTATTATTCACGACTCTCCCTTTCTCAAAATTGCTCAAACAAGTGAATTTCTATTGTAACGGCATACTCTTTTTGTTCAGGGAGATATGAACTCCGCGCATCACATCCTGAGTTGAAAGTCGATGTTAAAGGTTCAACACAGGTTTGGAGTCTCATTATTGATCTGTATTAGATATAGGGCGAAATAAATGAAATTAAATACATTTAAATAATGAACTATTTAGACTAGTGGGGTGTTTGGCAAAACCAAAACCGTGGTTTCAGAATCACTTTTCCGCAAAACGAGGTAACCTCCTCCACATATTTATTTCGTAATCCGTAAAAGCACTTCTGAAACCATGGTTTGGTTTCTATCCAAACACCCCTTAGATAACTATTGGGCCCTAGCTATGTGCCTTAAGCCTTACTTCCAACAAGCACAAGTCTATGTTTGCAAACCCTTTGGAAATGGGCTTTTACAACTTTTGAGGCAAAGCTACTGTCATGTTTCTTTGTCACATTTTATCCAAAACCAACAGGTTTTCAAACACAAACTCTTGTACTATATTTAACATCAACAATCTTTTATGTTCCACATGCTGTTTTTTTCCTGAATTATGTGCTTCTTGCAGGTGGAATTAGGCTTTGGAAATGGGATAGTGGATGATGTTTTCTTTGTCCCTGGATACAGCATCAATGGCCATGTGGTTGCACAGGTAATAGTTATTAAAGGGACAATATACTAAATTGATTGTTTTAACAATTTGTTGGAAATATCGTTTAATATCTGTTAAAGTCCAGAATAAGTTCTTATTTGCAGCATCCTGGTTTAAGTTCATAGGCATTTGTTGAGGGATGTTATTTTAGTTTTAGGCCTACTTAACTCCCAGATTAAATATCTTTTGCTTTTATTTTATGTTGTTTTTGCTTCGGCTCTTGCTTTTCCAGGGAAATCCAATATTAGGAGTCCACATTTACTTATATTCAGATGACGTCTCTGAGGTAGAGTGTTTGCAAGGTCCTGGTAGTGGCCCTAGGGAAGGTGTTGCTCTATGTCATGCCGTATCAGACGCTGGTGGAAGGTTCACATTCAATTCAATACCTTGTGGTAATTCCCTTTTCTCTCTGCCCCCCCACAGGTTGTTTTGAATTTCCGGTGCCCAAATGCTTCATCACAAAGTGATTTCTTTCGCAGCTCCTTTATCCCATCTGTTAGGAGTTTATTCATCAAGTTTTGAGCAAGCACCTTGTACAGTTTATACATATGGAAAGATATAAGCTTACTTTTCCATATTCTTTCAAATTCTTTTTTTTATTTTTTGGGGGGCTATTGTACTTAGTTTCTCTTGCCAACTTATTTCCTGCAATTATCCTTACTTTAGAATTCAGTATTTCTATCCGTTTTGCCTTTATAAATGAGTGTATATCGAGTATATGTTTATGCCTTGAATGAATAAGTGCTTCTTTTCATTGCTGGGTTCCTCAGGAAGCTATGAACTCGTGCCTTACTACAAGGGTGAAAATACAGTTTTTGATGTTTCACCTTCCAGTGTCTCTGTTAATGTTAAGCATCAACATGTAACTGTTCCTCAAAAATTTCAGGTATGTTATAGGGATACTGTGTCATAGATTGATGATATTTGTTGTTTGGGGTTTTCAGCATATCAATGCTTGGAGTAAAATTGTGTGGTTGAAGGCAAGAAAAATGTGCTTACTAGATTATGTTGCACACTTCTTAAGACTGCCTTCTTAAAAGACGTAAAATCTGTTTCAAAGCCATGCTTCTGTCTAGGAGTCTATGCCCATCCAATTTGAATTCATTTCTACGTGAAATTCATTTCCTGCATTGGCTGCTAATTGCCTTTTGTCCATTCTTCTTAAAAGTACTGGCATCAAATAACTCTATAGTTTTGGATGAAGAAATTTTTGCTCTTCATTGCATATATTTATGGTTATTATAAATTATAAATTAGTATTCTCTGTTATCTGCCCACAGAAGGACACCGAGAAGTTGATTGCCTCAAAAGGATGAGTGAAATTAATATTGAAATTTTATTAGAACAAAGAGCTAAGAAAACTATTTCTGTTACTGTATGCATAAAATATTTCACCAAGTTGAAAGGAATTACAACAACCATTTTCATCAGTTTTATGTCAGGTTTGGTGATTATATTTATGTTATTCTACTGTGCCATCTTTTATTTCAGGTCACTGGATTCTCCATAGGAGGTCGTGTAGTTGATGGGAATGAGATAGGAGTGGAGGGTGTTAAAATTATAGTGGATGGTCGTGAAAGGTTCATTACTGATAAACATGGATATTATAAGCTTGATCGGGTAACAGTCTCAGTAGATTTGCATTGCATGATGCATTAATTTGGAGAGACTGCCTTTTTATGTTAAGAATTTAAAATTTCTTGAGCTCAATTAATTTATATTATTTTTGCTCTATCCAAAATAATATCTTCATTATGTCTCTCTTTCTCCATCTCCCTCGCTTGCCTGGTAACTTGGGTTTTATCTTTCTTTTTATCAATTTTTTTAAATCTTCCTCAGGCCCACATGCAAGGAATTTCTTTAATCATCTTACATTGTGCTAAGGCTATCTTAACTGTTTATAGTCTATATATTTTCTTCTAACTCTCATGCTGGTATTTTTAGGTTACATCCAAGCACTATACCATAGAGGCCAAAAAGGAACACTACAAGTTCAAGAAGTTAGAGAATTATATGGTAAAATATGCATTTGAGGGAAACGTATGTTTGTCTTACAATGTGTTGCTAGCAAGTGATTACTAACCATATTGTTGGGAAAAGAATGGAATTTTGATTTGATTTGTAAGTGAACCTTGCTGCTGCCATGCTTTAAAACATTGTTTATATGCTCAGGTATTGCCAAATATGGCTTCAATTGAGGAAATCAATGCCATTTCATATGATCTATGTGGTGTGGTCAGAACGGTTAGTGGTGGCCTTAAAGCAAAGGTATGCATCTACCTTCTTGTAATTTATCAAGTATTTTTGCCATATCGACTGAAGCTAATCTTTTATTTTTAGGTGGCTCTGACTCATGGACCTGAGAATGTGAAACCACAAAAAAAGCATATAGATGCTAATGGGAAGTTTTGCTTTGAAGTATGTTAGTCACTTTTTTCTTGTCTCGTTTTGCTTATGTCGTCTGGTTTGGCTTAAACTGAAAGAGAAGTAAAGTAATATGTCAAGCATACAAACTAGCGATCTACAAGTTTCAGCTGTAACTTTGGTTGCTAGCTTAGAAACCACTCTTTAATTTTATTTTATTTTTTGTCAAAAATATTCGGCAGAAATTTTGTACTCTATATTCTTTAGTCAGAAACCTTTGATAGGATTTTTCTAAATTAATAACGATGCAAATTTTGATCACTATTTTGACATAGGTTCGTGCTCAGGACATTTATTTTTAAGAGGAAAATACTTCTAGATTTTTTTCTTTTGGGATCATTTTAAAGTATCTGCTAAATTTTTATTTGTTCCTTCCCCTAAAAGTGATGTCTAACTTTTTTTTTCTCTCCCTTTTTTAAATAATAATTAATAATGTTTAGGTTTTACCTGGTGAATATCGCTTGTCAGCTATTGCTGCTACTCCTGAGAGTGTTCCTGGACTCATGTTTTTGCCATCTTACATTGACGTTGTTGTCAAAAGTCCATTGTTGGATATTGAGTTTTCACAGGTAATATGTCCATCTCTACATTTCAGTGCCTTTCGTTTCCATCTATATAATCTTCACCAGATGCTTGCTGAAGTGAAGTCCTTTGAATCATAAAACCTGCAAATTAGAGTTTCTTGGCATTTACTCACCATGGTAATTATCATTCTTATGTGTAAATATGCAGATTTCATGGTGTTAGCTTTAATTTTGGATAGAGTAGAATGACTAACTTAAATTTTGGGCCTTCAATTGTTATTCACGCGTTTTCCCAAAAATAATTAGAATGTTTTAAATCTCTTTTGCTTCCTTTGTGATTTTTCTTTTTCTTTTTTTTTTCTTTTTTTTGGGGGGGGGTTTCTTTTTTCTCCTCATCCCTGCATAAGGTCCAGCAGCATTTAGGCCTTTACAATTTATTTATAATGGAAAATGTTCGCTTCTGATATCTTGTGCTGCATGACTATAGGCTCTAGTCAACATTCATGGTGCCGTAGTCTGCAGAGACAAATGTGGTCCATCTGTATCCGTTTCTCTTGTGAGACATTTCAGTAAACATAATGAAGAGAGGAAGACAATTGGTTTGACCAATGAGAGTAATGAATTTCATTTTCCAGACGTTGTTCCTGGAAAGTACAGGCTCGAGGTTTGTCCCTGCATGCATTCCGGTTTTATAATTATTTAACGCACTCAATTGTTGTGAAATATATTTCCTGGACATCCTCATTATATTTTTCCCCTTTGTGCTTGCTAACCATAATGCTTTGATTTAGGTAAAACATGAGTCATCAAAATCAGCAACCACGGAAGATAATTGGTGCTGGGAGCAGAGATTCATTGATGTAGATGTTGGAGCTGAGGATTTAAAAGGAGTTTTATTTGTCCAAAAAGGCTACTGGGTCAATATTATTTCCACCCATGATGTTGATAGTTACATGACTCAACCTGATGGCTCAAACCTGAATTTGAAGATTCAGGTAATTTAATCTGCCAATTGCCAATTATAGCCACCGAAAGTTTGTCAGGGAAATGCGGCAGCTACTTAAAATTCATCATATTTTTGGTGTGGACTGCAGAAAGGTTCCCAGCAAATATGTGCAGAATATGCTGGAGTGCACGAATTGCATTTTAAAAACTCGTGTATCTTCTTTGGGAGCTCAGCTGTGAAAATTGATACGTCTAATTTATTGGTATGGAGGATTTAGATGAACATAATGACCTTCAAGTGACGCCCCCCCCCCCCAACCCCCTGAAAAGGAAAGAAAGAAAGAAATCAGTTCATTATTTTGACTTTCTTCTCTTTTGTTTAATAACGTTTTGGTAGCCCGTCTATCTGAAAGGAGAAAAGTACCTTCTCAAAGGACAGATAAATGTTGAGTCCAGCTCCCTAAATGAATTGCCTGAGAATATGATTGTGGATATCCAAAATGGTGGAGCTAGTGTAATTGATGCTGCCAAGGCCATACTTTCATCCGATGGGAAAGATGAAACAAGTACTGCTATCTATGAGTATTCTGTATGGGCTAATCCTGGAGAAAAGCTTACCTTTATTCCTCGGGACCCAAGGTGCTCTTTTTTTGTCTGGTTTGTTTTAGCAATATCAGCTGGATAGCATCTTTTGAGCAAAAGATTTTGTGTTATTATGAGTTCACTAAGGAGTCATGGACTCCACTTCAGGGCAAAGTAGTGATAAAAGTAGACATAAGTATGTTTTAAGAATTGAAATTTTGATTAATTTTGTAATAATCAGTTGTTTATTGTTTTATAGTATATTGTACTGCACATGATACATCAAATCGTCAATAACATGATTACTGGACTTAACATTGAATTGGTTCAAGAAGCTCTGCAGTCTGGTTTGTACGATACTGTTGACTTGTTCTTTTTATTTGTTACAGGAATGATGGGGAGAAGAAGATATTATTTTATCCTAGAGAATATCATGTAAGTGGTAACTAGTAATAGGTTAATTTACTCACTGATATCTTTCTTGGAATGTTACTGAAGCTTCATCTCAAAAATTCACTCGCAGGTCTTAGTGACAGATAGCAGTTGTCAAGCCCCTGTTCCTACATTTTTGGGTCGACTGGGTTTATATATTGAAGGATCAGTTTCACCTCCTCTTTCTGGTGTTCATATTAGGATTCTTGCTGCTGGTGATAGCCGCATCACTGGCTTTAAAAGTGGTAAATCAGTACTTGAAACTATCACTGCTGCTGATGGCTCCTTTGTAGCAGGTCCTTTATATGATGATGTTACTTACAATGTCGAGGCTTCAAAGGTAGTAATTTGCTCAGTTCAAGGTTCAAACTGGATAAAATAAATGCATCATTATTAAATAGATAAAGGGTGTGCGTCTCTGTACTGATGCTTTAAGTTCCAGTTACACAGTCTTCAGCGATTCAACACGTAGATAATGAAATCTCAGAAAACCACAATCTCAAATTTTGCTTTTAACGTCCCTTTTTCTACCCGTATTAAGATTTGTATGTGATCAGTGAATCTGAAAACAGAATGCAGATAACCATTTTCCATAATTCTTTCCTGTGACTTCATATCATTCTTTCCTTGGATTGATTGATTGCTTTTCTCTTGCAGCCTGGTTATTATTTAAAACAGGTTGGGCCTCATTCTTTCAGCTGTCAGAAGCTTAGTCAAATTTCAGTACGTTTACATCACAAAGATGATGCTAAAGAACCCATTCCTTCTGTGCTGTTATCCTTGAGCGGTGATAATGGTTACAGAAACAACTCAGTATCTGGGACCAGTGGAACTTTCCTGTTTGATAATTTGTTTCCTGGGATGTTCTATTTGCGTCCTGTTTTAAAGGTACTTATATGTAATCTTCTTTTTCCTAATTATCTGGTCAGGCTTGAGAAAGAAAAAATGAAAAAGCCTCGTATGTTTTAAAGGTACTTATACGTAGCTTTATTGTTTACTTTGCTCATCCAAAACCTTCCATAATCTATCTTTTCATGTCTCAATAGTCATCTTATTATGCTTGTATCAATTTGTTGATAATTTCTGCTTGCTTGGGACTTGAAAAATGAAGTGAAGCAAGTTGCAGTAGTATGTAGATATATAAGGAGTTTTTTAATTGGTTTTTTTTTTTTTTTTGGGCTGAAGCTCTTTTTTAACTGCCTTACCCGCTATAAATTATCTTATATCCTAGGAGTTTGCTTTCTCACCTCAAGCACAATCAATAGAGCTTGGAGCTGGAGAATCTAGGGAAGTCATTTTCCAAGCCACCCGTGTAGCTTACAGGTTTTATTTTCTTAACCTACGTCATCTCTTCTTTCATTTATTTTAATTTTCTTTCATTTAAGCGGAACCAATAATTAGTGATAATATACAAGATAACTGCCCATCTAAACATATATATCAGTGCTGGGTTTCCATAATTTTGTAGTTTAATTTGCTTAGTTTGGCCATAATACTTGTTGGCAAAAAAAAAAAAAAAAGTTTGGCCATAATTCTTGTTTTTAGAATCTTCGATTTATATTTCTCTTCTTCCCATGTTGCAAGGGATAGGAGAGTTTGGCGGTATCTTTGTGGGCCTTGTATATCCTCTATATTTTCTTGGGCCTTGTATATTCTCTATATTTTCTCTACTCGTATCATGTGCACAATTATTACCTGCCCACAGTCGGCAAAGAGTATGTGGTTAATTTTAATCATATGGTTAATGACGCAATGCATGTTAACCGCACTTCCTCTCTTTTTCTTCTAATAACAAAGGAAGGGACACCAAACTGAGTTGAACTCTTAGAGGCATTTCTTTATTTGATTGATCAGACCTTAGTCTGACGGAGAATTCGTAATAAGGGATGCTAAATCTTATATTGAGTAGTATAAGATGCTTAATGGAATATTTAAGTAGGTTCTACTACCTCAATGGCTAGTTTTTGAGGTAGGGTTATTCGTCTCATGCGCTCATCAATTGATACTAAAGTGAAGTTGTTGGTGGTTCTGGAGAGGGATACTTATAGGGACATCTAACTAGCACGAGGTTGAGTGTGAAGTGCCGTGTGGTGTAGCAGTGTAGCTCTCAGGACATTGGCTTTCCATGTGGGGTCAATCGATGGAGATTGGGTAGCATGACAAGTCCTACATTGAATAGTATGGGATGCTCAATGGGATATTTAAGGGGGTACTTCCTCTTGGGTGAAATTCCATATTGTGTGAAAGTGCATTTGACCTGGTGGGCCACCTATGTCTTCAAGGCATATTACTTTCAGTTCAAATGAGAAATGGAATTCTGGCAACCCCGGCTCATAAGATGCACATCAGTTACCAGGGCCTCGAGTGCTTCAATAAAGAAGCAGCTGGCAATTTTGTCTTCTTTTTTTTTTAAACAAATCAGCGAATCTCATTTTTGGGCAAGTGAAGCAAAGTCTTATTTATGCTATGAACTCAATTGAGCCTGTAGTTGGCCCAATAGATTGACGTTTAATAATTTGGTACCCAAATATACATGGCTGAAGAGTCTTGCATGGGCAGGAGACACAAACTATAAATACATTAATTCATTAATAGTCCTAAAAGCAGAATCTTCGACAGCCAGTCCTCCCTCATCGCTTGAGATAGCCTTACCAAGACTAGGAGCTGCACACTGTTGCCTGGTTTCTTAAAGCCACAATGCTTAAACTCCTTTGTGCAGGGAATTTTGATTACCTTACTACCCAATCCAACTGTCCTTAGTGATTTGCGTGCATTTTCCAACTTACGGAAATATTACTCCTGAAGATGCTTAGGCAAATCAACTTTGCAGTGCTACAGGTAGAGTTACTCTGTTATCTGGCCAACCAAAAGGAGGGATTCCTGTAGAAGCACGGTCAGTGTCAAAAGGTTATTTTGAAGAAACAGTGGCAGATTCCTCTGGAAATTATCGTCTGAGAGGGCTGTTGCCTGATACTACCTATGTTATTAAAGTAGCTAAAAGAGATGGTGTGAGGAGTTCTCGCATAGAGCGTGCTTCTCCTGACTCCATTTCTGTCAAGGTTAGTTCTTGCTGGCTGATCCTTTTTAGCCCTGCTATTGATATGCAAAGTTCAGACTTGGGTTTGACTTTCAAGGTTGTTTTTTGATATTCCCAGGTTGGAACTGAGGATATGAAGGGTTTGGATTTTATAGTTTTTGAGGAGCCAGAAATGACGATTATGAGTTGTCACGTTGAAGGAAGCAGTACGGAGGAACAGAGGAAACACCTAATAGTGGAAATCAAGTCAGCTAGTGACGCAGCCAAGATAGAGTCTGTCTTCCCCTTGCCAATTTCCAACTTCTTCCAGGTGAAGGACTTGCCTAAGGGAAGATACCTTCTGCGGCTTCGTTCTGGTCTTCCTCCAGGCTCCCACAAATTTAAATCGGATAGCATTGAAGTTGACTTGGAGAAAAAAGCCCAAATCCATGTGGGCCCACTGGGATACAGGTTTGAAGAAGATCAGCTGAAGCAGGTTTCTTTTTTCAGCCTTCATGTAGCAAAATTTGCAATAATTAATTCTTCCATTCTTTTTGTCCTGTTTTAGTATATAAATAAAATAATGTTCTTAATTGCTTCAGGAATTGACCCCTGCACCGGTATTTCCTCTCATAGTTGGAGTGCTAGTTATTATACTATTTGTTAGTATGCCGAGGTAAGTGATTCGAATATATACATTCTTATCTACCAAGGCACCAATTTGAGGTCTTTTCTCATATATAGTTTAACTCTTTTTTCTCCATCCATCTCCATATGAAGACTGAAGGATTTGTATCAAGCCACGATAGACATGCCCATGCCCACAGGAGGACCTGCTGCGACTTCGAAAAGGGAAGTGCGGAAGCCAGTGTCGCGAAAGAAGACATACTAAAACTTTTTCCATCTCATAAAACTTTCTCATTTTGTTTACGTTTCAAAATAAGAAAAATCAATGGAAAAAGTACAGTTAGGATCGGGGGAAAAAAGATGAAGTTGGCCATATGCTCAATTCAGCTTAAAGTTGCCCTCCCAAAAAAAAAAATCTTGTTAGTTTGACAGCGTTTATTTTCCCTTCTAGGATTTCCCTTTTATGCTAAAGGATGATTGTACTAATTAAAGATTTATCAATTTTTCGTGGCCGTTCCCGTGAAATGTCTCTTTTATCGTTAGATTTTTTTTTTTTCTATCTGCCTATTAAAATAGAAATTTTTCTGCAAAGAGTACGTTTCAGTCATATATAAAACTGAAAACAACATATATAATATATATATATATATATATATATAAAACTGGACTCTACTTTTTATGAGGAACTAAAACTGATTCGAAAATTGACGGATGGGTTAATTACCATGATTTCTTAAAACTAGTTATGGTATGGTAAAGAGAGATTGATTTGCAAATGAGGGGGTAGTGATTGTGTAGGGGCTTGAGAGGAATTCTGACCCAATTATTATATTAATATTACCCACAATGAACGTAAGGAACTCAATCGGATTTCGCCTTGAAGAACTTCGATTATAAATTCTAAATTAAATGAGTAATAGGAAAATTGGGACAAATCCAGAATTTATTTAGGATAGAGTTTTCTGAGAAAGATGTTTTATGCTGTGCGATTTCGTTTTAATAAATATTACTCCCTCCGTTCCTTATTATAAGAGACATTTGATGCTTATGGCATGTTCCTATATATAAGAGACACTTAAAAGTTGTCTCTACTTTTTTGTGTTGATTTCCTATTTTACCCATATTTATTGTCTCCAACTCACACTGTCTCTCATTCTCACTTCTCTTTCTTTTAATAATTTACTATTGTTCTCTCTCATGTTCTCTCTCCTTATTAGTGAGGGTATTTTTGGAAAAGAAATTATACTTTTACATATTGATTGTTCTTAACTATTTTAACTGTTTTTTTGATCAACGTAATTCGGTTATTCGTCTCTTATAATAAGGAACGGAGGGAGTAATAATTATCATATATACAATTTTTGTAAGAGTATCTCCTCTTTGGTTTGGCATCTGTGAGCTTGAATAGTTGATTCTTTGGCTATAATAATCACATGCATTAAGTATTGGGAATCCCAATATTGATTCACTTTCCCCTTGTGGTCTAGAGTTTGGTTGTATATATATTATATAATACCGCTAGAGTGCTCTTCCCTCACTCCTATGCAAGATTTTCCTCTCCGGTGAAGCTGTGAATCCCTTACTCTCGGTCCCATGGCTTCTCCAAATGATTCAGTTAGTCCTCCCATGCCCTTAAACCGTTCTGAACCGTTGGAAAAGAATTTTGATTTATGTGATGGAAGGCTTAGCGTCAGGGGTGAGCCATTGCTGACACAAGTCCCACAAAATGTATCTTTTGCTCCTTTCTCTTCCATTCGTCATTCCTCTGATTCTGAATCTGATGCTCCACCATCTCTGCTTCAGCGTGTGCTTGCCCTGTCTCGCAAGGGTGGCTTCCTAGGCTTCTTCCAGGAAGAGCCCTCTGATAGGTTGATGAACTCCTTGGGTAGATTCACTGGAAGGGACTTTCTCAGTATCTTTAGATTCAAAACATGGTGGTCTACCCAGTGGGTTGGAAATTCTGGCTCTGATTTACAAATGGAAACCCAATGGGTTCTCTTTGATCTTCCTGAGATAAGTTCCTACGTTATCATCATTCCTATAATTGAAGGCAGCTTTAGGTCTGCTCTCCATCCTGGCTCTGATGGGCACGTCATGATTTGCGCAGAGAGCGGCTCCACTCTAGTGAAAGCATCCAGTTTCAATGCTATAACATATATTCACGTGTCTGAAAATCCGTACAACTTGATGAAAGAAGCATTCAGTGCCCTGAGGGTTCACCTCAACACCTTCAGGCTCCTAGAAGAGAAAACCCTGCCAGATCTCGTTGACAAATTTGGCTGGTGCACTTGGGATGCCTTCTATTTGACCGTAGACCCTATCGGAGTTTGGCACGGATTGAACGATTTTGCCAAAGGTGGTGCGGCCCCGAGGTTTCTTATCATCGACCATGGCTGGCAAAGCATCAATTTGGATGGGGACAACCCCAATGAGGATGCCAAGAACCTCACTGTGGGCGGTAAACAAATGGCTGCAAGGATTTACAGGCTTGAAGAGGGCGATAAGTTTAAAAAATACCAAGGGGGTCTTATGTTAGGTTCCCATGCTCCTCCTTTTGACCCAAAGAAGACCGAGAAGCTGCTCGCAAAAGGGGTTGAACTAGAGCGCTTGAAGACCCGCGTGGAGGCCATCCAACATGATAGTGCCGATCTACCAAAGGCTGAATTGAGGATGAAGCAGTTGAACCAAGAAATCGATGATCTGTTTGGGGAAGAGCGAAGAAGGGTTTGGAACAAAGAACGTGGAGGATCGTCTTGCAGAACAGAGGACTCAGGAATGAAGGCTTTCACAAGGGATTTGAGGACCAAATTCAAAGGTTTGGATGATATTTATGTGTGGCACGCCCTTTGTGGTGCCTGGGGTGGTGTGAGGCCTGGGGCAACCCATCTCAATTCAAAAATAGTGCCATGCAAACTGTCCCCTGGCCTTGACGCCACAATGCCTGATCAAGCGGTCGTCAACATCGTCAACGGTTCAATTGGGCTTGTTCATCCTGATCAAGCGCACGACTTGTATGACTCTATGCATTCCTACCTTGCCAAATGCGGCATTACTGGAGTAAAAGTTGACTCATTCATGTGAGTTTTCTCATACCAACTTTTAGATTGCACTTCAGTTTTTTGTTATGCTTAACTATTCTTTCCCACCTTATAACATGCATATTTTAAAAAATGCAGACCCTTGAGTATGTGTGCGATGAATACAGAGGCAGAGTCGATCTCGCCAATGCATACTATGGCGGGCTGACAAATTCCGTTGTGAAGAACTTCAGCGGTTGTGGAGTCATCGCTAGCATGCAACAGTGCAATGACTTCTTCTTCCTGGGCACGAAGCAAATCGCGATGGGAAGAGTTGGTGAGTATAAGCTGTCGTTACTGTCCACCCATAAATCCGTGTTCACTGTTTCAATCAAGGCTCTAACTTCTCCCTGTTTTGTCGCAGGTGATGACTTCTGGGTCAGCGATCCAGAGGACCCAATGGGATCCTTCTGGCTGCAAGGCGTCCATATGATTCACTGCGCCTATAACAGCCTGTGGATGGGGCAGATGATTCGGCCTGACTGGGATATGTTCCACTCAGTGCATGAGTGCGCCAAATTTCATGCAGCGTCGAGGGCCATTTGTGGCGGGCCGGTCTACTTGAGTGATCCGGTCGGCTCACACAATTTTGATGTGATCAAGAAGCTTGTGCATCCTGATGGCACCGTCCCCAATTGCATACACTTCGCCCTTCCAAGCAGAGACTGCCTCTTCAAGAACCCTCTGTTTGACCAGCAAACCCTTCTCAAGATCTGGAATCTCAACAAGGTACCCTGCCGAGTCCTAAATGGTCCCTCGCTTTGAATCCTTGTGTGCGTGCGAGAGATCATGTAAAGCTAACCAATAATTTGATTCCTATACTTGAAACAGTATGGTGGGGTGATCGGCGCTTTCAACTGCCAAGGGGCTGGTTGGGACCCGGAGGCCCACTCCATAAGGGGCTTCCCTGAGTGCTACAAGTTAGTGTCTGGCTCGATTCATGTATCTGAGATTGAATGGGACCAGAAGATGGAAGCAGCTTATATGGGTGAGGCAGAGGAGTACGCAGTGTACCAGAGTGAGGCTATGAAACTGACTCTCATGTCGTTCGACTCTGAACGGATCCCAGTGATCCTCCTGCCTTCTACATTCGAGCTCTTCAGCTTCGTTCCCGTTCGTAAGCTAAATGGGGGCGTCAAATTGGCACCGATTGGGCTAACGAACATGCTGAACTCTGGAGGAACTATTCAAGAATTGGAGTATGAGGAGGGTGGAGGTGAGACTGTCGCCAAGGTTAGGGTTAAAGGTGAAGGGAAATTCCTGGCATACTCGAGTGAGATTCCTAAGAAGTGTCAGCTGAATGGCGGTGATGTTCCTTTCCTGTGGCAGGCCGATGACGCCAAACTGACCCTTGACCTTCTTTGGATCGAACCCGCGGGAGGCATGTCTGACCTGTCATTTTACTTCTACCATTACTAATTTTTTATTTTGTTTTAATCAGTAACAGCTTTCACTAATGACGGAGAGTAATCTCCCTAGGCGAAGGAGAGGCCGTTAGCGAGCGAGCCTGATGATTATTTTAGATATTTTATTTTGGCCCAACTCTCTTTTGAAATGAGTTTGATATTAATATCTCTCTTTAACTAAAATCCTTCCCCGTCGTTCATGGAAAAAAAATTGTTAATTTCAATAAATCAGAGGCAAGGATATATGTATATTTAATAATCGGATGGAAATAAAATTTGATATAATTGGCTATTTTATCAAAAGGGTCGAAAGAACTAAAAAGTAAGAATAGCAGTCTTCACGTCCAAACAAAATGTAGCATAGTTTGGATAGCTTGGTATTAAAGATATTCGCCGAATAAAGTGCACTTCATATATATAATTTATCATTTATAAGTCTTACAAATCTATTGAGCAGTATTTGTATTTGATCCTCTGGTGAAAAAAAAAACATGTATTTTATTATCTGTGATTTATCTGTATCTATAAAATCAAATCTAAAAATCTCGTAAAGAATGATTTTTTTTTCTATTCCATAACAGTAAAATATTTAATATAAATCAGAAGTCCCCGGAAGACTTGCTCGTTATGAATAATTTTATTGGATAAAAGATTTTACAAAACAAAATGTTTTTAAAATAAGTGTATACATATAATTGATGAAAATGTCAAAAGAATAAAATACCGGACGGTGGAAGCTGGGGGGTTGAGATCCGTTTAGCGGATATAATTATAATGAACAATAGTTTTTTGAATCTGTTTTTTTTTTTCATATGAAAAAATGAAGTATATCGAAATCAGATTATTAGTTTCCCTATTATCCCGTATGAGATTTTGTTAGTTTAGATTAATTAACATAAGAAATCTTTCAAAGCCCCGTCTCTTATTTACTGACTTATCTCTTAATCCTTCCACCTCTATTTACCCAGAAAATTGTCAGGGTTTCATAATATTTTATACTAGCCATCTACCGAAGTCCAGTAGAAGTAGTGATGGCGGATTCTCAAATTCCAGAGGACTATGACGCTTTAGATCAGAAAATGGAAAACAATAATAGAAGATATGGAGAAATAGAAGAGGTGATAGATGATGTGGAGAGGGCTTTTGAGAAGTTCCAGAACTTCGAAATCCTTAACAGTGCTCCATATGATCACTGTTTCCTTTCCAAGAGAACCATGAACTGCAGAAGAAGTAATCTAACCGAACAGATGAAGCAAGAATGGAAGGTGTTGAAGTTCAGTCTCGCCAAGTCATCCATTTACGTGAGAGCCTACGAGGAGAGGCCTGATCTCATGCGAGCAATTATCGTAGGCCCTGAGGGAACCCCTTATCACCACGCTTTGTTCTGCTTTGACTTTCGCTTCCCTTCCAATTATCCCAATCAAACCCCAGACTTGTTCTATCGCTGTTATTATGCCCCTTCTTCCATTCCTAATGGAAAGCTTAAGGGTTTTTTGAACCTCAAAATGAAATCTCATTCTGCTCCGATGACAATACTACGTCTCCTCACTCTCATCCAGAACTCCTTCCTTATTAACAAACACGATGAGGCTCCGCGCGTTCCTTCCGCTGCAGAAGAACCTAACATGAGAGTAATGAAACAAACCTGGGAGGCCATGCTTTGCATGTTGAAGTCGCCGCCTCAGAATTTTGAAGTGTTCGTCCAAGGATACTTTCGAACTAGGTCCCACCAGATTCTCATGAACTTTAAATTCCGTATAGGTCTTGACGAAACAACCATAGGGCTCTTCTTCAGACTCATTAAAGCGTTTGAAGCGAATGGAGCTTACTGTCAACATCATTATAATAAGGATAATGTTGATCAATTGCTTCTCAAAGCGATGCTGCCCAGGCAGAAATCTAACTCTGGTATCGTCAAGAAAATATCAACTATGTTTCAGGGTACGTTCTTGTAAGTTTAGTCCTAGTGTGCCGTACGGTCTCTTCCGGTCGTGTTTCCTTCTTGAACTAGACGTGATGGGCTTTCGTGCCTTAATGTAGTCTGCGAAATGAGTCATGCTTATAAAGAATTTTTCATTTTTTATTATTCATCCCGGTGACTCTGGCAGATAAAGAAGGGAGATTAGTTTGGTTCATTCATTAAATTTTTCATATGAATGTATAATTTTACTGTTGATATAGTTTTTTTTTTTAAAATTCTGATGAAGAAATTTAGAGGCACAGTGCTGGATGGATTAAATCATTCATTATATTTCTCCCTCCCTCATCCTTCCTCTTACTCTTAGCAATCAGCATGTATAACTTCACACGCTTCAAGAATGCCTTTAACATGATTTTATTAATCCTTCAAGAACTAAGCAATTATCCTCTCTTAGCTAAAAACGAAGTATCTACAAAATAGGGAGTAGGACGCCATACCTCAATAGATGAAACTGACGCAAGTTTCTCCCCTAGAATCGAAATCTGAAATCAATACAAAAAACCAGCCGTTTCCTTCCCATCATGTTTTGGTTTTCGCGGGAATTCCGAGGATGAGAGCGAAAAGACAAATCGCAAGTTTGTGCGTGAATCTATCGCGGAAAACCTCGGCCGAGTTTGAGGAATTTCCCGACAAAGAAATGGAAGTAAGGCGGTCAAAGTCTTTGAGTAGATTCACTCACAAACCTGCAATCCGCCTTCCCTCTAGGATACCAAGTGCAGTGCCAAGAAGACGATGAATGAAATTATATAGGAAGAACCAAGATTCAAAGGTTATGGTGCGGCATCTTCCTCCGCAAGCGCCCCATTCGGTGGGCAACAGCTTTGGGGTCAGATTCCCAAAATAATTGCATTCTTTTTACTGGAATTTTTGAGAATAAACTCCAACACCCTATTTTCTATTATCTTTCTCCTTTTTTCTTTTTTTCTTTTTCTGCGACTAGATTTTCTCTCGGCCCTTGGTATAAAGATCATGCTGCCATTGAGTCCAAAAAAAAAAAAGATCATGCTGCCATGGACACTTGGGCCATAGGCCTCGATTGCACTGTCCACCCACAGGCCCATGTGTTGTGAGTTTCTGATGTTGGTTGGGCCATTTAAAGCCCGATATTAGATCCAAATCATCTCAATTTATTTTGTTGGGCCTGAAGATGTAAACTTAAGTTATCTGGTTAAAACCAAACATTTATTCGTGGTGATTTTCAACACGTGCAAGGAACATGGGATGGTTGTTGGGTTCGTGGAAGTGAAAGCGAAGCAGTGCTGGTTGCGAAGGGCTCTACTGGGCCACCAGGACCACAACTTTTTTTTTTGGTCAACACCAGGACCACAACTAATTTCAGGGTTACAACCTTCTTCTGTTTTTTTTTTTTTTTGCGTTACCACGTGGGTGTGACCTGTTAAGGCTGTCGGCTTGTTGTAAAATATTGAGGTCATTCAACAATTAAAATTTAAGAGAATTCTGGCCTATCGGGAAAAAAAACAATTAGAAGTTGCTCCTGAATAAAAAAAATTTAGTGAAATAGTAAAATGAGAAGGAAACTGATTAATTAAATCATTAATATATTAATTAATAAATCAGCCCAATACTGGAGATTACAATTTTTTCATATGAATAATAATGATAAATGTAAGGATATTTAATTATTCATGTCAGCTAAACGTGAGATAGATACAATTTTTTTTTATTTTCAAAACAAAAAAGAGACAATTTTTAATTTGAGCATCGAAAGTAAAAGGCAGTTCTTTCTTCTTTTTTTACCGGAAAAAAAGATCAAAGGCAGGTGAATTCAAAAGAATGGCGAAGAGGAAATAGGACGATGAACAGTGCAGGAACCCATTGTGTACAGGGGAGCGTGGAAAGGAATACTGGGCCGGCCGATACGATGGGACGTGACACTGCTATCTTCCGTATGCTTAACACTTACTACAAGCCCACGGCAGCACGTGGAGGCATGTTCCTCTTCATAACTCGGGGGAAAAAGCAAGGTCCAAAAAAAAGCTTCATATTGTTATCTTCATCAGTTTCAAATTACGATCTTGGATCACCTTCTTTACATGCATCTCATTTTATTTGCTCCCATGCACCGCCAAGCGTTATCGAATTAATAGCCATTTATTTAATTTATTTGTTACCCTTTCCCCTTTTTTCCCTGAAATAGCGAGGCATTATAATGCTGGCGGAGAATGTTGTAGGAGAAATAAAGAAGCCACGTTGCGATTGCTTCCCCTTGAAACAAGTAAAGGAAAAGATTCTGGTCCATGTTCTTCCTTCAGCCTCACCCGCTCAGGTATCATCAGTGACAAATCGAGATGCATGCATCTTTGTCTGGAACATTGTCGAGGTGTCGGCTTCTCGGCCTAGGAACCCTAAAAAAGATGGCTGTTTCTGAGAACTCAATCATATAATCAGTTCAAGGGAAGACTGGTTCATGAATGTCAGAGGATAACCCACCTTATCCCAACATCAGTATCCATGCTGTCTACTTTTTGTTTACATAAGCATTGACAAGCCTGCACTTAAAATATGATTTTAAAGAGGTTTCCTCAAGTGAAGCACGAGCTAGGGGCATGAATTAAACACGTTACATATATTTATTAATGCAGAACGCCATGTTTATTGAGCTGGAAGGGGGGAGACGAAGGACCCCATTAATCGCGCATATTGTAAATGCATTGAATTTAGAAAGTGGCGGGGCAGGAATAATCCAGGGTGGTCTTACGAGGTGGGGAGGTGAGTGTGTGACGAAAGGTGGTGGTTTAGAGGGGTTTGGGTGCTGTGAGGAAGAATCATGTGGATGCATGTGGATTGAGTTGGATAACATGCTCAAAGCAAACGACACCGCACTCGGCCACACCTGTCCCTTTCTCATTCATCCATCCCATTCCCTTGGAGGCCTTCTCTGAAATTGTAGCCTGTGGTCCCCACCTCCTAATTATATGTATAGCTCTTAGTATTATCCTAAATGCTCAGCGGCCTACCAGATCACACAGAGTATAAATGCGCACATTGTCTCTCGTTCTTGCAAATTGCAACAGCAAACCAGAAGGAGATTCCAACGCCTCTCTGTAGAATCATGGGAGCTTCTTCGCAGCCTTTCCCTGTTTTCCTGTCCGTGAAAAACCAGCTTCGAGAAGCTGATCAAGAAGACAGGAATTTATCGTATGGGTATCTGGGGAGCAAAGCGGGGGCAGGGCGAGGCATGAAGCACAGGCTGAGGAGCGGGGGGAGGAGAAAGGTTTTAATGAAGAGGAAGGCTCGCACGATAGGAGGTTCTAGAAGACAAGGGGCCATGGGGATTGAGACGAGGATCAGAACTCTGAAGAGGCTTATACCCAGCAGCAACAGCGAGTCCGTGGGTTGGATGGGCTCTTCAGGGACACAGCCGAGTACATTTTGTCGTTACAAACGAGAGTGAGAGTCATGCAGATTATGGTTGACGTACTGGCAGTTTCTGACGGGTGAATCTGAGTCATCTGTAAAGATTAATAATTAGGTTTTGTCTAGTTCCCCCTTGTGGTTTGTAGGGATATATTATATATAGAAGATTCATGTGCATGTTTAATCTCGCCTCCCATCGCCTGGATTTAGAACAGCATGGGGATCATTTCAATGAGTCACTGTGTGGAAAGATGAGACCAGTGCTGGTTCATTACAATTATATCTGTAATTCATATACCGCTGTTACTATTAGTTGTATTTCTGTCATTCATATATCAATTTGACGTACTTTACTTGTGGATGCTTTGGACATATCAGGGTAAGAGATAATCATGTTTTCATACGCGCTGCATATATGATGTCTTTTTGAGATACAAAATATCAATCGACACAGCGATTTCTCCATAATTAATCGAAAGCCCCCACTTAAGGAGAATCCAAGTGTAATTAGCGGGAAAAGAGAAGAATTACGACGTCCAATAAATAAATTTACATCCACGACGCGCGGTAAACAGTTGTAGAGAAACGGAGAGTTCGATTGTACATTCTCATTTCTTGATGCAACCATATATCATTCCAGGCCACACGTTATATCTATCTCGACCCAACTCGATACTTCCATTTCGATGGTCACTGCTGCGGCGTTAGCTTTCACTTCAATTTCTATTTCTATTTCTTTCGCAGTTTAATTTCCACGATTCCTTTTTTATTTCTTTTCTACTGAGCCTTTTTCCTCATGGTTGAAGTTCCGAGCCAGCCAATAACTCTCAGAAATGAAAGTGAAGCCCCGGCGTGGATTCTGGGCCACGGAATGGAAGGCATGTTTGAAGCATGGGCTGGACACGGTAAGACCATTCATTTGGTGAGATCAGGGTAATCTGAGAAAAGCCCAATCAGATTGGGCCTATTTTACAAGCATGTTTTCTAAGAATCACTTTGATTATTCCGTGATTCCCCAATGCATGGGACGGCCTGTTTATTGTTCCCATCCCAAAATTTGCCCAAGTAGAAGGGGGCCGAAAATAAACAACTCAAAC